GAGCTTAAAATTCACATCTTTATTAATTTAGAAAACACCCTGTTTACAACATTGTGTAATTATATGCTAAACGGTGTTGCCAGGGTTCTCCACTGCTAGGCAACACACCAACCAGACTTTAATAAATTATAATAAATTATTATGCAAGATACAAATACTCCTGGGTAGAAAGAAACACTGCAAGAAAGATCTGTCTGGCCACAAAACACAATACACTGAAATGGTCCAGTTTTTAACTGGGACTGAGCCAGGGCTTGCAAAAAGTACGTGTACTGTCTGGTCTTCTGGGACAAGTAAACTCTCCTTTCAGGCAAGTGACTTTTCATTCTCACTTGCCCACTGGGCAAGGACCCATGCAAGTCATCTGCCAACTAAATAACCCAAAATTTGAGAGCTCCTTGTCGGAAGAGCAAGGTGAAGTTAAATGTTTTTTTTGGAACCAGTGAACATGATAAGTTAACTATCAGGTCACTACAGCAGTGATCTTATGTACATCAAAATAACTATGAATCTTGCTTCTTAAGATTAGAGGCTCCAACCTGTTGCTTCATCGTAAGATGGAGGAGCACCACTGTCTGTTCCATAGGTAGGAGGACCTCCAGTGCCAGGTTCCACTGGGGAACCCTGAAAACAAAAAACACATCAGAATTTCTTATCACTGGTATTCTTTACAGCATCTAATCCATAAGGCGACAGTGAACAAAATGTGCCAGACAGAATCAAATGGGATGCCATGCACATGTAATAGGCGGGTTTTCAATTGAGTGTCATAAAACCAAAACCTACTCAGCCAATCTCAACTGAAAACCACTCTAAGGCTCACATAAAGCTTAAGAGCCCTGATCTAAACCAAACTTGATACAAAATGGATTTCCGAGGGGTGGAAATTTGACCTTGGTGATTGGAGTTAAGATTGGGAGTTTGACATATTATGGAAGGGGCAGCACTATTTATCAGACATCTCACCAAGATTCAACACTGTTCTCTGAATACATAATAATTTATCAAAGTGGGAGTTCAAGAATTCATTTATTTCTTTTCCATCTGCCACTTGAGAAACGAGATGAAACCGGATCACGAGAACTGTAGGTAGTGTCGGCCGACACAATGGACCAATATATCTAGAGACACTCGGGTGAAACATCAGCCGAGTATTGGTTGACACTTGACCGATACACGGCCAATACTTGAACCATGTATCAACCAAGTGTCAGCTAACAGTGTTGACCAACACCTCCTATATACAGTAAACGTGATCCACGAAACTGGGCAAAACTTGTTTCATCTTGCAGCGGCTTGTGACACTGTTATTAAGGACAAAACAAGCTTTGTTATATGGCCAGCTCCGTGAGCGGGCAAGATGAATCAAATCCTGCACTGTGATTGGCTACTCGAGCGGGCAAGATGGAGCTATCTTGCCCGCTTGGGACTACCCGCTGTGTCCCGCAAGAGAAATTTCCCCGAAAGCCATATAATAAATCCTTTATTGACCAAGCTTGTT